CAGGCATGGAGACTAGGATTTACAACACATCAGAAAATGGCGGATAATTACATCAGATCCCAAAACGGAGGACAACCACACAATACTAGGAATCATGGCCCAGCCAAGTTGACATGTTTTTTGGGGACACAATTCAATTCATGACAGGGTCATCTGGCCTCAATAGCTCCAGAAAGTCTGAATTTGGTGAGAATTTGAAATTCCATCCCGTAAAAAAATTCCATGTTTTGATCGGCCAAAAAGTGACTTCATTTTTAACTTCAATATTTTAGTGAACTTTTTTTGTGGATTTGCTGACCATTTGTATCTTTCCTTTTGTGAGTTCCTTTTCAGATCTCAAGTTCATTTTCCTACTGAGGATGTGGCCTTTCTTTTTTGATCATTGTCATTTACACTGCAAATCTTTCCCCCCAGCATATGGTACGCTTCTCAAACGTCCATGGCTGATTAGGGTTAGGTCTTTTGAACATGCAGGTGTTTTTATTGTCCTGTTGTTGCCCCTGCGACTGGAGGGTTGGTGCAAACAGTTCGCATTCTGGTGGCTCCCGGTAGTTGTGTGTGCCGTGATTGCTGCTTGCGCTGTGGAAAGTGTAACGACCAGTGGCTGTGTCAGCACAAATTCCATGTGAGGTGTAGAAACAGTCTCTAGTGTGTTGCAAAGAAGATTAAAACCGCTAAGGAAGAAAAGAAGTCAGGGGTTTCAGATTAGTGTCTAGTGGGGGTGTTGTGGAATCCCTGGGTGGCCCAAATGGCTAAAGCTCAGATGCTAACTGAAAAGTTGGAGGTTCAAGTGCATCTAGAGGTGCCTTGGAAGAAACGCCTGGCGAGCTACTTCCAAACAATCAGCCTTTGAAAACCTCATGGAGCGCAGTTCTACTCTGATGCACATGGGGTCACCATGAGTCGAATCAACTCAATGACAATTTTTTTTATTGGTCTGTTTCTTTGTTTTTTTTTTTTTGCGGGGCGTGGAGATTGCAGCAAGAATAACAAGAGTGAGAAATGAATGGCTAAATCTAGCTTTGATCTGGCAAGTCAGGCAAGCTCTTGGGACTTGAGTGTCCTCATCTGTAAGGTGGGAGTGTCGGTACTTTGTCACACTTGCCCTCTGCAGATGTTAAGCTGGTAATACAATTAATTGTCTCCGCTGAAGAACTAAGAAGTGCCCAGCTTCCCGATATCCCCAGCTCATCGTACCTCCCTTTTTGCTGTGGTTGGCAGGAAACCCACGATCACGTCGGAGACATAGCCGTAGTACCTCCTTTCATCGGAGTGTCTGCTTCTTCTGTGCTTTGCCTTGCCTTTCCGCTTTTGGTTTCTGTTTTTCTCAATGCGATGTTTTATTTGTTTGTTTTGATGTGATGTTTTATTTATTTGTTTCTTTATTTATTTTGATATGATGTTTTTATGTTCACCTTAATGCTTGTGCTTTTGGTTTTCCCTTGGGAAGCCCCTCAAAACATTGGATTATTCAGGGCTTAAATATACTGGAATAAAATGAACCGGGGCCATGTAAATCTAGATATAAACACACTCGGAAGAGTTAAAGGGTTTCTCAGTAACAAGTTAATATTTTCATTATGGTTGCCCTTTTATAGAAGACTTCAGTTACTTCAGATTGCCCTTAATGGGCAAGTAAGCCTCATTGAAAGGAGTCCTGGTGGTGTGACGGTTAAGTGCTGGCTGCAAACTAAGAAGTTGGCAGTTCGAGCCCACCCAGCAGCTCTGCGGGAGAAGAAGGGATTATATGTGTCAACAGGTGTAGGAAATGCTTCAAGGGGAAGGCTGCCTTTAGTTTGGATTTTAAAGAACAGAAGTGACTGAGGTGGGGAGGATTCCAGAGAATGCAAATCAAAGCAGAGTTGGGGGAACACAGGTGTGCACAGGCAGGGCCAGCTTTTAGTGAAAGCGTACGGTGTGCGGAGCGGACACCAGAGGCAGCGTGTTTGAGGAGGAGTAGAAAACCAGTTGCCGTGGAGTCGACTCAGACTGATGGCAACCCCATGTGTATCAGAGTCAAACTCCGCTCCACAGCGTTTTCAACGGCTGATTTTTCAGAAGTAGATTGCCAGGCCTTTCTTCTGAGGCGCCTCCAGTGGGACTCGACCTTCAACCTTTTGGTTGGCAGCCAAGCACATTAACCATTTGCACCACCCACGGACCCCCAAGGGGAGGGAGCCTGAAAGATCAAAGCAGGCAATGTGAGAGGGTGGGCAGGCTGGAAGATTCAGGGCCAGAGGACTGAGCAAAGCTATACTTACCATGCTGACATGTGTGCATGTGTGTGAAACGAAGCGAGTGGAGGAGAAGGGAGGCTTGGAAACGGCCGTGTTGGGTCAGCACCACAAGAAAGACTTCAGCACTCGGTAGAAAAGTTATTGCCAGGTGGCTTTGCTTTCAGAAAACTTAGCTTGTGAAAGTGGTCAGTGGACTCAGCCTCTCGTTTGTTGGCATGGGGTGTTTCCCTGTTGTATGTCGAGTGTGATTTGTAGCTCTGAAGAATCTACACAATACACACACACAGCACAGAAACATCTGCACGCAGACACACCTGCAGAACGGGCACACACACGTCACACAGACATGTACCTACACATACGTATACACAGCAAGACACGTCTGCAGACATACACAATGGACACACGTATACAATGTACACATACGTACACAGTGTGTGCACATACACAACACAAACATCTACACAGCGTGCGCGTACACAGCACAGACACATCTGCACGCATACACAGCACACACACGTTCACAACACACACATACACAATGTGCACACACACCTACACATACACAGCACAGACGTATCTTCACACGTACACAACACACGTGTGTTCACAATATACAGTACCCAGCACAATGTGCACACACGTTTACACAGCACAGACATATCTGCACACATATACAACACGCACGTTCAAAACATGCACATACACGGTGTGTGCACACATTACACAGATACATCTGCACACATACACCATGGAGACACACATACCACACACAGGTACACTTACTGTTGACATTATTGGCTAGTAGTTGGGCTCTTAACCTTCTGCACCACTCAGGGACTCCAAATACTGACGTAGCCACTTCCATTCAGGGTCCCCCCACAGTGATCCTCTGTAGACAGGTATCACTCGGTGGGGCAGGAAGGCATGGACGTCATAGAAAGGTCCAGTCATACACATCCACAATAGGGGGAATGTTGAGCAGATGTCGCGGTTTCCAGGTGGCACGCTTTTCTTTCCGTGAGGGGTCAGCCAGGCAGGTAATGGGGCAAGGGTCACACGGAGGATAAAGACGGGTTGGCTGATACTCTAGAAAGTCACATCACCTCCCAGTAGCCTCAACCGGCCCTTGGTACCAGGGCTCCTTTGTGTACTTCTTCAACAACTGGAAGGGGCCCCGTTAGTAAGACAGGGAGGAGAGTGCCTCCTGGCCACAAGAGGAGCTGGGACCCAGTGGCTGTTGGAGGCACTAGAATAAGGCTCCTGTGCGCCAGGCCCTTGGTCTCTACCTCCTGGGCCTCTGTTTGCTGAGAAGTTAATGACTCAGCTCTCAACTTGAAGGAAAGAACCTGTCTGAGCCCCATTTTATTTGCCTGCTGGATGGGCTGAAGCAGGGTGTCTGCAAAGGCATTGCAGGCTGATCTTGGCGGGTGTGACAGTCGTTAGCCCAGAAGCTTTAGTTAGGACACATGTAAACATACCTATGAACGTGTGTGTCTATGCGTTGTTGGCGCGTGGTGTATGTATGTGCATATAAACACGCACATGTGTACATATAATGTGGCAGAGAAAGGGAGGGATAGGTGCACCACCGCAGCTCTGAATATAGCAGCATGTGACAACTTTCACAAACATACTAGTTTCTAAAATTTTTGTGTAACATTTATTTTTTGTCAAAAAATGGAGTTTGTGTGTACATGTATGTGTGTGTATCTGCATTTGCTATGCGTGTGTGTATCTTAATACCTTGTATTCTGTTGATTCATATGCCGGTATATAGCCCAGTGTCACGTAACGTGTTTGGACGCTTTACCTTGCGTTGGGAATTGTGGTGGGGAGAGGTGTGGGAAAATGTGTAGGGATCTAATAACTTAAAGCGGTTTAAGGGGATTTTCAGGTCACCTTACTGGAGTCTGGAGTCCCTGGGTGGTACAAATGCTGCTAACCAAAAGGTTGGAGGTTCGAGTCCACCCAGAGGTGCCTCGGAAGAAAGGCCTGGCAATGTTCTGAAAAACCATCTGCTGAAAGCCTTATGGAGCACAGTTCTACTCTGCACACATGAGGTTGCCATGAGTCGTAGCTGACTCCAGGGCATCTGGTTTTCTAACCGGTTGCTGGGTCTGGTAACGTGGGGGTGAGCTGTGAGTTGGAATCATTTGCTAACGTTGTTGTCTTTCTTGCAGACCAGCCAGTGTGCAGTGTTGGGGAGTTAGTCCAGGAGGAGGTGGGGACCCACTGCATCCACAGACACAGGGCCAGTCTCCACTCTCCACGGGCAGCGCTCACCCCCAAGAGATCCCGGAACTGCCCCAAAAAGGCCGGTGCCGAGCGGGGACGTTGCCTCGCGATTATCGATACTCCAAGGAGGACAGCCCCGCAGACCTGCTGCTGCCACTCTGCTCAGGACCCCCGGCCCCGAGCGCCCCGTCGCCCCTACCTGGGCGAAGTGGGGACGTCTGCCTACTCAACACTGTGCCCTTCACCAAGCGGCCGGCCCCACAGAGGCCCCCGCCGCCCAAGCGCGAGCCCCGGAGGGCCAGGGGACTAGACAGTGCAGCCTCAGGGGCCACTGCCGCGGGGACTGCTCCTGCCGACGCCCCGCCGACCACCCCCCTGGACGTGTGTGTGAACCGTCCGTCCCTCTCCCAGAGCCCACCTGCCGTCCCCCGGCCCCATGAGGCCCCGCCGGCTGCCCCTAGTGAGCATGACCACCGGTGTGTAAATGAGGACCCGCCCACGCCTCGGCACCTGCAGAGAGCCGCCATGGAGACCTCCCGCTCCCCTTCCCCACAGTTTGCGCCCCAGAAGCTGACCGACAAGCCCCCCCTGCTCATCCAGGATGAGAGCTCGACAAGGTAGTGTCTTGGGCCCGGAGCCCCATGCCTTCCTCCGTGTACGGAGCTTCCTTGCGCAGGAGGTGGCTCCTTGCCTCTGCATGTTTTCAGCGGATTGTTCCGGGGTCAGTTTTGATGGACTCCTCGCTTCCGCTCCAGACATTTGGTTTTCAAGGCGGTCCGGGTGCACAACTACAGGGAGGGAAAACCACAACTATAATCATTGTAGTTTTAGCGGGTTGGGGGCCCCCCACCCGCACAGGAAACGAGAGGGACGTGAAGTCAGTGCCGCCGTCTCTCCATCCCCCTCCATTTGAGCTGCCCCTTCATATCAGCTTCTGCAGATTGTTGTTGTTGGTAGCTGCTGTGAGTGGGTCCCGACTCACAGTGATGCCATGCATAACTGAACAGGATGCTGCTCGGTACAGAACCATTCCGGTAATCCCTTGAGATCAGGCCATTGTGATCCATAGGGTTTTCATTGGCTGATTTTTCAGAAGTAGATTGCCAGGCCTTTATTCCTAGTCTTAGTCTAGAAGCTCCACTGAAACCTGTTCAGCATGCTAGCAACACACAAGCCTCCAGACAGATGGTGGCTTTGCATGAGGTGCACTGCCCAGGAATTGAACCTGAGTTTCCCTGCATGGAAGGCGGGAATTGTACCACTGAACCAACATGTTGAGCACTGTGCATGAGCCAGAATCAGGCAGAATCCCTGGAAGGCAGCATTATGTAAGGAGACATAAACCCGTTACCTCTGAGTCAATTCTGACTGATGGCAACCCTGTAGGACAGAGCAGAACTGCCTCGTAGTGTTTCCAAGGAGTAGCTGGTAGATTCGAACCGTGGACCTTTTGGTTAGCAGCCGAACTGTTAACCACTGTGCAGAGGGGACGTAGGTAGGCTGGTAATGTGAAGTTGTTGTTTTTGTTAGTTGCCATTGAGTCGGCCCCCCAACTCCCTGTGACGGGATGAAACGCTACCTGGTCCTGTGGCATCCTCCTGATTGGTTGCAGATCTAACTGAGATCCATAGGGTTTCAGTGGCTGATTTCTGAAGTAGATCACCAGGCCTTTCCTCCTAGTCTGTCTTACTCTGGAAGCTCTACGGATACCCGCTCAGCATCCTCACAGCACACAAGCCTCCACTGGCAGATGGGTGGTGGCTGCGCATGAGGTGCATTGGCTGGGAATTGAACCCGGGTCTCCCGCCTGGAAGGTGAGAGCTCTACCACTGAACCACCACTGCCCCATCTGCAGATCAGGAAGGTGTTTTTGCTAAGCACTTGCCATATTTGTACTCAGAATCAGGTTTAACCTAAGCATTAGACATTTCGGTGAAAATGGTGTTTGTCACGATGTCCAGCATTTCCACGTGCCCCTTTCTAGATCTTTTAGGTTACAAAGCTAAGCTGGTACACACCTTTTATCGCAGCGGGAGAAAAACCAGTCCCGTTCCGTGGTGCCATTGTCACAAGTTCAGGCGTGGGATGACCTTGCCGTCAAGACGTTGGTCAGAATGCCGAGCCTGCATTCCAGGGTGGTTTGGCTTCTTCCATATAAAAATGGGTCCTTTCTGGGTGCCCATGAATTGCTGAAAATCGGGGAAAGTGGTGTGTTTTCATCTCCTTTTCTAGAGCAGTGGTTCTCAACCCAGGCAGTTCTAAGCCACAGAGAGCATTAGGCAATGTCTGGGGGCACTTAGTTGTCACAGCTGGAGTGGGGTCTAGTGGGTAGAGGTCAGGGATGCTGTTCAGTAGTCTACAATACACGGGATAGCCCCATCCCACAACAAAAAATGGTCCAGCCCCAAACATCAGTGGGTGGAGAAACCTGCTTTAAAGCTGCACCTTGCAGTACTGTAGCCACTGGCCACATGCGGCCGTAGAAATGTAAGTTAATGAGCATTAAGTAAAATCAGTACAGTTCGTCAGTCACACCAGCCACGTGTCATGTGCTCGGTAGCTGCGTGTGCCTAGTGGCTATCCTACCGGACTGCACAGATTTTTATCACCGCAGACTGTTCCATTGGACCTCACTGCTCTAGAGTCTCTAACCTTTTTTTTAACTTCAAAATAGCGGAGAAAGGACAATACTTATACTGCCTGTGTTAGTTACCTAGTGCTGCCATCACAAAAATACCACAAGCGGGTGCCTTTAAAGGACAGAGGTGTAGTCCCTCACAGTTCTGGAGGCTGCGAGTCTGAACTCGGGGCTGTGCTCCCAATTAGAGTGTTGGCCCTCGGGCGAGTTCCTTCCTCGTATTTTTCAGCTACTCTAGCCCGAGATGTTTTATGGTGTTCCTTGGCCTGTAGACTGATCTTCAGGTGGTCTGTCTCCATGTCTATTTTCTCTTTTTATAAGACACTGCTCAGAAGGGATGAGGTTTAGGGCCCACCCTACTCCTGTGTGACCTCCTTAATGTAACAAAAGAAACTCCCGATTTCCAAATAGGGTCTTGTTCCCAGGTACAGGGGGTAGGACATCACCATATTGTTCTTTTTTTTAAATTTTATTCTATTGTTGTACTTTAAGTGAAAGTTTACAATTCAAGTAAGTTAGTCTCTCATACAAAAATTTATACATACGTTGTTATGTGACCCTAATTGTTCTCCCTATACTGTGACAGCACACTCCTCCTTTCCACCCCTGATTTCCCATGTCCATTCAACCAGCTCCTGACCCTTTCTGCCTTCTCATCTCACCTCCAGACAGGAGCTGCCCATTTAGTCTCATGTATCTATTTGATCTAAGAAGCACACTCTTCACGAGTATCACTTTATGTCCCATAGTCTAGTCTAATCTTTGTCTGAAGAGTTGGCCTCAGAAATTGTTGTAGTTCTGGGATGGTAGAGAATCCGGGGGCCATGCTTTCAGAGGCTCCTCCAGTCTCAGACCATTAAGTCTGGTCTCCTTACTAGAATTTGAGTTCTGCACTCCACTTTTCTCCCACCCCATCAGGGACTCTCTGTTGTGTTCCCTGTCAGGGCAGTCATTGGTGGTACCCAGGCACCATCTAGTTCTTCTGGTCTCAGGCTGATGAAGTATCTGCTTTATGTGGCCCTTTCTGTCTCTTGGGCTAATACTTTCCTTGTGTCTTTGGTGTTCTTCATTCTCCTTTACTCCAGGTGGGTTGGAACCAATTGATGCATCTTAGATGGCTGCTTGCAAGCTTTTAAGACCCCAGACGCCACTCACCAAAGTAGGATGTAGAACATTTGTTAGGATGTCACCATATCTTTTTGGGGACACAGTTCAATCCATAAAACTGCCCTGTGTCTGCAAGTGTGACATCTAACCACAGCTTTATCTGCAGGCCAAAGCTGTGCTTGTTTTGTTGAAAATGTATGTGTTGCTTTTAAATATGCTTTTGGTTGGTAACATTAAGTTCTCAAAGGGAGCAAAAGCAGTAAGGCCATCTGTATGGGTGGTGTAAATGGTGAGTGCTTGGCTGCTAACTGAAAGGTTGGAGGTTCAAGTTCAACCAGAGGTACCTCAGAAGAAAGGCCTGATGACCTACTTCCAAAAAATCAGCCATTGAAAAACCTGCGGAGCACAATTCGGCTCTGACACACATGGAGGTGGCATGAGTCAGAGTCGACTCGACGACAACTAGTTGTTTTTTGTTTGTTTTTTTTTAATAATTTCCTAGGCTTCCAGGCCAAAGGGCTCTAGCTGGCAGCACACGTGGCTCGGGGCTTAGCGTACCTGTGTTCTGTGTCCCTTGGGCCTGTCTTTGCATTAGGAATCGATGCAGTTGGGTTGTGATAAGGTCTGATGAAGGAGCTCTGGCAGTGCAGTGGTTCAGCGGTTGGCTGCTAACTGAAGCGTCCACGGTTCAAACCCACCAGCCACTCCATAGGAGAAAGATGTGGCAGTCTACTTCCGTAAAGATTCCAGCCTTGGAAACCCTGTGGGGCAGTTCGCCTCTGTCCTACAAGGTTGCTGAGTCAGGATCGGCTCAACAGCAACGGGTTTGGTTTGGTTTAATGAACTGGATTTTGTGCTTATTTTGAATGAAAGTTTCCTTAAACTTTTTAACGTTTTCCAGGAGACAAACCACCTGTGCTTAGACATGAGCAGGGAAGGGGGCTTTGTCAGAATGTCTGTGTTTACTATGGAGGCTTTGTTGTTGTTTTATTTCTCCTAGGATGTTTTCATTCAGTGAGAGAGCCAACTTTTTCCATTAACGGGGTAGGATAGAAACACAGGCTGACTTACAAGTCGGCAAGAGGTCACCAGTGTTTCTAGGGGCTGAGCCGAGGAAGCGAAGCTTGATTAAGATGTCAGGGTTTTCCTTCTTAAGTTTAACTTGTATTTTCCAGTGTTAGGGTTTTACTTACTCACAAGGAAGGAGCTGAGACTGTCTATGAATACATCTGCTCTTACTGGTTTTCCCTAGAGGAAGGGAACCAAAACCAACTCATAACGACCCTATAGGACAGAGTAGAACTGCCCCATAGGGTTTCCAAGCCTGTAATTTTCACGGCAAGGAGCCCTGGTGGCGCAGTGGTGAAGCACCTGGCTGCTAACCAGAAGGCCAGCAATTCGAACCCACTAGCTTGTTCCATAGGATAAAAGACCTGGCTATCTGCTGCCATAAAGATTTCAGCCTAGTAAGTCCTATAGTGTAGTTCCATTCTGTTCTATAGGGGGCAGTGGGTTTGGTTTTTTGGGTAATCTTTGTGGAAGCCGACTGCCACATCTTTCTCTGGTGGAGTCGCTGGTGGGTTCCAACCACTCACCTTTCAGTTCCCAACTAAGCGCTTAACCTCTGCACCACCATGGGTCTTTCAGGAGGAAGGGAAGAAAATACAAAATAATCTTATTTTAGCCTGCAGACCGCACCCTTAGGAACTGGGAAGAACTGTACTGCTTTTCCCTGGCCACCAGTTAAAGGGAGAAAAGCAGCACTGAATTTGGGACCCAGGAGCTTCCCTTGTGCTACATAAAATCAGGTCCCTGGTGTAACGCTTACAGGTATCTTCAGCTCAGTGAGTTAGACACAAGGCCTGATTTTTTGCTTTCGGGAATTTTGGCTGGTATCCTAACCCACCCCCACCCCCCCACCCCACCCCCCCGCTAACTTGCAGGAGCCCTGGTGGCACAGTGGTTAAGAACTCGGCTGCTAACCAAAAGGTTGGTAGTTCGAATCCACCAGCTGCTCCTTGGAAACCCTATGGGGCAGTTCCACTGTGAGAATCAACTTGACGGCAACGGGTTTGTTTTTTGTTTTTTTTTTTGGTGTGCACGCAGTGTACGTGCATGGGCAGCAGCAGTAGACTGCTGTGTTTATCCGATATGGCTTTTAAAAATAATTTTAAAACCATCTTGTCGTGGTGGAACTCGACAGCATGCCCCCTGCCCACCACGTGTGGCCGAGAACACTGAGGCCTCAGTAGTGACAGATGGAGCACTTTGTGTTGACCAGGCACTTTCTCTCTGTCGTCTCTGTCCTCTCTTCTTCCTCCCTGTCTCCCCTGCTCCTTTCCTGGAGAAGCTTTAAAAGAAATATGTGTTACTGGTGAGCCACTTGAAACGACACAAAGCCAGTGTGTTCCCTGTTTGCTGCTGGGATCTGTATCTCACTGGTATGAAAAGACTATGAAAGCGGAGTGGAGGTGCGGCGGAGGGCTGGCAGGTGGAGCGGAGTTGCAGAGGAGGGCTGGGAGGTGGAGTGGAGGGCTGGGAGGTGGAGTGGAGGGCTGGGAGGTGGAGTGGAGGGCTGGGAGGTGGAGTGGAGGGCTGGGAGGTGGAGTGGAGGGGCGGCGGCGTGCTAGGAGGTGGAGTGGAGGGGCGGCGGCGTGCTAGGAGGTGGAGTGGAGGGGCGGCGGCGTGCTAGGAGTTGGAGTGGAGGGGCTGCGGAGTGCTGCGGCGTGCTAGGAGGTGGAGTGGAGGG